GGGGGGAAAGGTGCATCAAACCAGTAGCTGCTGACAGCAGCCGGGGTACCTGTGTGTATACAGACCATCTTAGATGCTCCTTGCATATGCACAAATGCCTTGTCAGCCCAGGCCGGCCACAAGGCCAACCTGCCAGGGTCCTCAGCTCAGCTGAGGCTCCACCATGGGGAGAAGCACCTGGGCAACACCTAAGGGAGAAAAATTCCCCATTTTGAGTGGAAGCTGAGGTCAAGTCTCCTGACAGCGTGGGAAGTATTTTATTCAGCAGAGGCATCTTGACAGCCAGGGACTGAATCAGAGTTCTAGCTGAAGAGAAGAAACAGGTCCATGAAAAAAAAAAAAAAAAAAAAAAAACACAAACCAAATACATGGCAAGACTGATGCCTTTCAGCAGACATAATTGCTTGACACAGGCAGTAAAAATCATCTCAATACCAACTCTCCCATTCCCAGTTCGTATTTAAAGTTACATGAGCTACCTGCAAAGGCTTATCCATTTTGAGAATATTGACAGATTAACTGCTTGGGACACTGTGAAAAAATCCCTGGGGAGGACCAGCTCATTACACTCTCTGTGGTGTTAAGTCAGCTATCCTGGACCACAGCCATCTGTCATCAAACGCAGGAGGCACCAACACCGCTGTGAGCTTGCAGACAGTTGACCCAAAGTACCATCTCGCTGCTGCCAAAAGGGCAGGGCTTTTCATCTAAAGTTTACTGTGATGTGTTTCTTGGCTGACTGAACAGCCTGTCAATCTTCAGTTAGGCACAGTGTGAACAGACAGCACAGTCAGGAGGGGGAATCTGCACACATCTCAGGCACAGCCTGAGCAGATTCCACAAGTGATCTCCAAAACCTCTTCAAATGGCATCCTCACTGCTCCCAGGAAGTTTCTCCTCCTTCCTTATTCTGGTGGTGGAGCTTGCTACTTTACTGAAAAAATAGTTATTGGTAAAAATACTAATTGTAAAATACTTGTAAAACGCTAAGAGCAGTTCCAAAATTCAGAACTGGGGGTGAGGAATACCTCTCCAGCCACAGGTAATGCAAGAATTATCCCAAGCACTCCTGGATAGTGTTAGAGGCACATTTACAGCTCTTGTACAAAAAAGAATGAAGCAAAGAGCAAAACGAGCTTATATCCACTTATAATAGCTTCTTGCATTACCGTTACATCCTCAGTGATAAACCAACAGAACTTCATGGTTCAAGTTTCAATACCATATAACTTGCTACTCCAAAATCTAATTCTGGAAGCCATTCAAGGTTTGTTCTAGCTATGCCCTGGAGCTCTGCTTGCATCATACCTGACTACTGACCCAGAAGCACCTAACAAACAAAAAGAATACGACAGCTGCAGCTTTCTTCAAGGAGATCCAGATGTAGTAGTATGCACCTGTCTGGTGGATACAGCACTGGCTCTGTTAAGTCAAGACTATTCCCCCAGCCCTCAGATGCAAGTAACAGAACTATAGCACATGCTATTAAAAATTAAATCTACCTTAGGCCTATACTAGCTGCTCTTCATTTGACAATCTCTCTTCCAGTCTTCCACTTTAGTCTTTGTTCTGTTTTTTCTTTTTCAGACTCGTAACTTTCTTCTGAGCCAAGTCCTCTGATGACTTCATACACAGCTGTTGCCATGAAAAAAATCCCTGCACTGCTCAGTTGCTCCAGTGTCTCTACAGCATTGCGAGGCAGAGCAAGGAGTTCTGTTTAAACAGACCTCCTTCCACCTCCTTGAGCACCCTGTCTGCAGGCAGCACAGAACACAGCATCCTGAAATGGGGTCTGTTGCACCAAAACCCAATTCTGCATAATGTAAGCTGTAAGAAGCCGCTTCTCCCAGCTTTGACGAGCACATGGAATGACAGGACACTAGAAAAGTGGAGCTTTCATTTATTGGGCTGAAACTACAAATAGAATCACTTTGACTTCTGGCTCTGTGCTTGTGCCTTCAACACTTTGACAACGATCTTCTGCTCCTCAATAAGAAAAGCTCGTTTGATTCTGGAAAAAAAAACAAACAAACAAAAACAACACCAAAAAAAGAACTTTAGCACATGCATCTACTTAACTGAAAACACAAAAATAAGACAATGACAATTAATTTTGCTGTCTCCAACATTCATTGCATATGTGGTGTTAGTTCCACAATTACATAAAAAGAGAAACCATCAATGTTCTTGACAGCATCAAAAGACAGGGATGGTAGCATTGTATGAATACAGCAGTTTGAGGGAGAAGGCCTAGTGTGCCTGCAAATTTAGGATGAGCGGCTAGTAGGCAAGCAAGGTCATATCTGATGAACGAACACTGGAAAAATCACCACCTTCACCAACTTCAAAGGCAAAAGCAAAACTCCTCCCTGGCAAACTAATTTAGCTGTTCTTAGTCAGAATTGGTGTGGCTGGTTGTGGTCACATCTCTTCCTTAGAAGTATAGAAAACTTCACAAGTCCAGTTATCAAAACAAGAACAGCTCCCCTCCCCTCTCAGGATTAGAGCTTCTCTGCACATGAACAGAGAAAACTTTGGCAGGTCAAGACATGCCTAAATACAATTATTTCTGGAAGACACGCAGACAGACTTCCATGATAGTACTCACACATCAACAGCCTATTTGATCATTTCAAGTTAAAAAGTACAAATATACCACACGCTCTTCTACCTTGAAACATTAAAATGCCACTCCATATGCATTTGGTACATATGGCTATTGCCACTGTACACAAAACCTCCCCAAAGTGTCTGAATAAATGCAGGAAAAACCCTGCCAATTACATCGAAGGGGGTGACTGTGGTTCTTGTTTCAGGCAGAATAAGGTATGCTCATGTATTAAAAACAACCTACAAGCTCATAAAGCATTTGGGAAAATGCTCAGAAAAAAAGGCAGCTTTTAACCCAGAAAAGTTATGCTACAGATCTGCAACTGTAACCACTTGTCTGCACTGGCACCTCATGTGATTTAACTTAGGACTCACACAAATGAAAAAAAGATGACAACATGTGCACTGCAGATGAAAAACCTGGCCTTAAATTGCTAACTCCTGAGAGCTGCTTTGATTACCATTCATGGAGATGACATTCTTTGTAATAAGACATTTCTTCCCTCAAACTTGCCAAGGAAGTATAGGATGTACAGCTGTTACCCAATAAAACTGAATTCAGTGAGGCCCAGCGAAGGCCATCTTAAAGCTTAACCACAGTAAAGATGCTTAGTATGCAACAAAGTAGTATCCCTTAATCCCAAAACACCACAAAGCAGCCAAAAACGCAACTGATCTTAAAGCGGTATCTTTGCATTAAACAGAAGAGAAAAATCTTTACTATGGGGGCTCAATGTAAAACACTTCAGAACACTCAGACTGTTTAGCACCAAAGCAACAATGCACTAAGAAATCATGACGAACATAAACTCTCTACAAAGGAGCTTCACATGCACTAACTGATTTTGTCCCTTTTGAGCTAGTTAGTGCAAACTAGCTCAAATCCAAGGGACAAAATCACATGTGTCACTGCTAATGTGCCCCATAATTACCCCCTCCATTTTACTATAATTATGTCAGACAAGTCTTCAAAGTTTTGGTCCACATTATGAAAACAGTGAGATGTAAAAATCTTACATGAAGTAACCTCAAGAATGAAGTTAGCTTTCTGTAAGCTTACCTGTCACGGACACACTTAGCACACATGGAACCACCATAGGCTCTGCTAACATGCTTCTTCGTTTTTGACAGCCTCATAAGAACTTTAGGACGCACAGCACGAACCTACAGAAAGCAAAAATGAGATGTGTACCACACTTTGGCTAACAGTCATATCAAGAAAATTCACTCTGATAGTTTAAAAAAAAGCAGCAACACCTAAAGTTGACTATCCAAGATGAAAAAAAGTGAAGTCGCACCTTGTTGTATCTGCCATCTTGATAGCATTCCTAAGCTGATCTTTCCATTCTACCACTGGGCTTCAACAGATTCATTAAAAAACTTTATGAAAAAATTATTTTCCCAAGGGTAAGAACTGCTCAAAGATCGGCATCACTCAAGCATTCCCATCATTGTTAAGAGCAATGGCATTACACCAAGAAAACATTTTGGAGAAAAATACGTTAAAAACATTCCTTTTTTCCTAAAGCTGAAAGTCAAACTCTGCTTACGTTTTTTTTGAAAGCCCACCTAGTAAGTCTGATTTAGACTTTTAAACCTGCTACAGAATTGCCTTGATCTAGCTCTAAACACTTCAGCCACTTACATCTTATAAAACAAGATGGTTCAGATCTAACAGCAATGAGAACCACAAGCATTAAAAAAAGCACTCTAAGCTCTCAAAGCTTATTTTACCAGTTGAACTTTACATTTGAATAAGAAAATTGTTCAACAAGAATTCATCAATAAACAGACATATTATATTACTTGAAAAGGCTCTTTGTACTGAAAAAGTATTGCCAAAAAAAAAAATCATATGCTAGTAAGGCTAATACTTACACCACGAAGTCTTCCTGGGCATATACCACATGCCGACTTTGGTGCCTTCCCCACTTTCTTGGTGTAAAGGTAAACAATCCTGTTCCCGGGTGTTCGGGACCTAAGCACAGCAGAAAAATATTCAGTTAATGTAACAATCAAACTTAAACTCAGCTTTCTTTAAAAATAAGTTTTCTTAGAAACATTATCTTGGCTTACAGTCTGGTCTTGTTGGAAGCTGTGTTGTAGGACAACCTACGGCGGTAGGTCAGGCGCTGAACCATTTTTTACACCTAAATTAGTCAAAAACAAAACAGCACTAGTTCAGGGCTCGATGTCCACATGGAAGTTCACATATCACAGCATCACCTGCACTGAAGCACTGGGCCAGATCTGAATGAGCAGTTGCCGATTCTATGTTAGTATTTAAAAATTAAAGCATTTCCTCATCAATAACAGCCAACACAACTACGTTAA